TCTATCGTATTGGTACTGGTTTTATCAATAGATTGTGTTACACATAGCTAGGTTATCTTTGTTTGCTGAGATACGCAACGATAAGATATTAGCGTGAATTGCCGCGCCTGTATTCTGTTAAAATACTCTTTGTTCTTTATGTTTTTATACATGACATAGTAGTAATTAAAGCTTGGTATTTTATGCCAGAATTTGTAATAAAATAACTTTAATTAAATACTACACTAGAGTACGCCGAGATGTTATATTTTATTTCTAAGATCATATAACTGAGTCTTAGGTAATCCGAATACATTCCCGTCCTTTCATGTGTTTCTTTTAAAAATTTTAAGTAATTAACAATTTGTTTTGGTTATTTCGATCCTACAAACTCATGGTAAATGGCTAACCTAAGCCTCCTTTTTGGTGCTGTCAAATAGCGTAAAAGCTGTGTGTTTTATCACATTTTAAATTCCATTTTATTCATATTTAGATACTAAATACTTCAAGTTAGTTAAATTAGAAAATGCCTACAGGTCTCTTGTGATTTTGAGCGGCATAGAGAAATTTTCTTTGAATAATAAAATTGTACTTTATTAGAATTTCATACGAGAAACTGTCGATACATCTAAAGCTAAAAGAAAAATAATTTTATGCATATATTTGTATTGACGTTATGATTTCCCTTAGGAATTTGTGTCTGCATCAAATCCAGCAATTCGAGGTAAAGTCTGATTTGAATTTGAAATCCGATAAACGTATTCAAAGAGCTATAAGGAAGTGGCTACGGATGATGTAAGATGCAAACATAAATAAACAAGATGTACGATGTAATACGATATTCCCATACACCAAGAAGGCTAGTGTAAATCTTGCGCTTGAAGGAACGTAAATTTTAGAATTCCCATCTAGTATTGCCTGAATATATTCGGAATAGTACTAAAAGCATGGAAATGGTGACTATCTTAAAGGAAAATATTGTTATACCACACCTATTCATTACATATTTTCACTTGTTATTTTTTTATTTAGCAAATTCTACTTAGTATAAAACGTTACCTATTTCAAGTAGTAGTAAGCGTATAATATATAGATTTTGTAACATAATCAGCAAACATGTCGGTGAATAGATTTTCTAATAACCTTAGTTAAGCGCTCCACGTGAATTGCTCAATTATGTAAAAGGAGAAGCCAATCTATGCAAAGTTAATCGAGACACAGGCAGCGTCACGGCAAGCAAATTGCATGCTTACACTGATATGGTATTTCATATTAACAATAATGCTCTTAAGGGAGACAATATACTTACATGAAGATAAAACTTACATTTAATTAGTCTTATAAAAATTAATTTTCGGTAAGAAATCTACGTATTTTTAACTGAATTAAGTACGTAATTAAATGACGATTAAACATGTAATTGAAAAAATACTGTCTGTATATTTTTTTATTGAGTTTAATGATAGCACAGTCGGTGATGTCGACCAAAAATTGTGACTTATTCATTTCCTATTGAAAGACCGGCAAGCGAAATGAGGCTTGAAAGATTCTTTTCATGACCGTAATGGCTATTAGAGAAGAGCGAAGCCCTTTCATAAAGAATTTCTACATCCACATTTTCTCAAATATGTTGAAGTGTATGGATGTAAGAAAATAATCGAGACAATCGTAATTGAAGAGGCTGTAAGCTCTTATGTAAGCTCTCACGTAAGTATTCTATAGATAACAATACATATAGCAATAAAAATGTACATTTAACTAAAAAAACTTAAGGAATTGTATTTGATCGAATATCAGAAGTAAACGGATCGAATATCGGAAGTTGTCGATATATTTTAATAATAATTAATTCTTGTATTGTTTAAATGTATATTCGTTATTTTACTTGTCGTAGTATTACTTGGAAATAATCCTGTAAACATAATGACCCTCAGTGCTCTCTCACTTGAAATTAATCTGCAAGAAGGCATTGCGGTGACTATTTACACGGCGTCCTCGAAGCATGTTCCCTCTGGCTCTTCATTTTGCTTACAAAAGTGTCCAAGGTTGTCACAATAATATTTTTCTTCTAACACATTTGTAACTTAAATCTTTCTATATGATACAATGTATTATACATAGATATTTTTACTGCCAATCAGTATTCTGGCACTTTTATTGTATTGAATTGGTTAGTTACTGAAATTTAGTTTTGTTTATAAATGTCTAATTTGTATTCTTTTTAAAATGAATGATCAATCTAACACTCAAATGAGAAAACAGTTTTTTTAAGCTACTTATTTACTTATTTCTGAACATCTTTATTTTCTCACTCTGGAGTTTGCATGTAATATTACCATTACCATTTGTAGACTTTCTTTCAGGCCAGTTCAAATTTGTCTCCTATAGGATGTATTTCATTATTTTGATACTGATTGTTTTTAGTTTTTCAATGTTAAAATGTATCTAAGTGCAAAGAAGAAAAAAGCTCGTTAAAGTGACAACCCTAGAGAATTTCCGACAAGGCCCGCAGACATGGGTAAATAATTTTCCTGATTACCGTGCTGCGCCTTCATCGTTCAAAGCTAGGAGCGAGTTGTCCCGACCCCGACAAAAATATTAAAAACCGGAACGTTCCCGTCTCCTCTCGTACCTACAACTTGTCGCAATTGCAAACGACTAGATATTACTCTACGAGTAAATTGATTTCCCGCTGCGTATTTCGAGTAGTTTCACTAAATTGAGATGTGCGGAAAGCTTCAACTTGTGTCTGACAGTGTTTGCTGCTTTTAAAATGAAAACCTATTTTATGTTATGATAAAGATAAAGAAATTGTAAAAATTTGACATATTCTACAATTTTAGTTATTAAAAGATTTAACTCCTTATTAACACATCACATTTACGTACAAAAACAAGTGCTTTAAAAGTTTTATATTTTAATTCAAACTCTTTTTAGATAAGAATGTAAGTACACACGAATAACTGTGAAAGCAAAAAAGTAAACGAAAGTTTAAAAATTTCAAAAAGCAATTTACCAAAAGACTTTTTTAATAAAACGTTTTGTGTTGCACAAAATGTGAGAGGAATTTATAATTACTTTATCATTTGTATTAACAAAGACAAAACTAAAAAGGCTCGATATGTGGGCGGGTGTAAGAGAATTCGCAGAGGCAAAGAGAGCGCAATTACATTGCAGGTAGAAACTCCGCCTGAGGAAATGTAATAAACGAGTCGCCTCCGACCAAATATTTAGAGAACAAAGTGGAGCCATGAAACCAACGATTTGGTAAAATTTAGAAATAAATTAAGTCATTTATACTTTTTTTTAAATACAGTGAGATATTTTAATCAGTTATTAAGTAAGATAAATGTAATACCAAGCTTAGTATATAAAAAGTTGATATCTAAGTTACGTTACGTTTTCACTTAATGGCAATTTTGATTCCTCATAATATACAACGAGATAAAACTTGAGACGTTTTTAGTGATATTACTTTAAGTCTACTGACTTCTATGTTTACGTACTTTGCTGCAACTATTACTTTTACTATGCACTTAAGTGCGTCTTATTTATTGTTAAATAGCTTATTTAGTGGCCCAAATTCATGCGTGGCTGACCACGGGACAGTAAACGTATTCCCCGCACTCCCGCCCTTGATTCTATTAACGCAGCAATTTCCCCAATCCCAACCAGCTGTCTTATCACAAGTCTTACATAATTCACTAGAATAGAAAATTAATCTGTCTCCAGCAGAAATATGTGAATAATTACCTATTTTTCTTTATAGCGGGCGTACACATTTGATTAAAGCGCACAATATTGTCGATTGTTCCGCAGCCAATTCAACTGTTTAGTTGCATAATAAAAAATCTAATCGTGTGCTACTCCATATAAGCTCATAGGAATCATCATCATCATCACATCATCACCAGCTCACTATACGTCCCCTCCTAGGGACGCATAGTGTGACTAATAAGGGGTGACTAGGCCATAGTCAACCACGCTGGCCAAGTGCGGGTTGGTTGACTTCACACATATCTTCGAATTTCTTCACCGATATGTGCAGGTTGCATCACGATGTTTTTCTTCACCTTAAGAACGTCGGGTAAATTATGTACATATGAAAATTCGAAAATCGAAAATCACATTGGTACACGGCGGGATTCGAACCCAAGACCTGTAGATTACAAGTCAAGTGTTCAAACCACTGAACCACCGACGCTCAATAGGTATATTAGGCTCATAGGAATCAAAGCAGATTAAATCGTTGTGTGATAGTTTAGTTTCAGGTGTGCACACGCTCTTAGTACACTTATGTATGTAATGTAAAAACAGAATATAAAAAGGTGAAATAAAATCGTATAACTAGTTAGCTTATATGTCGTATATCTTTTTTATAATTCTCTACGAATAACAGTGATATTTGTAAATACGGGCTCATAAAAAATTAACGATTAGGCAACTTTGCACTGTGAATCTGTGAATACAATAGCTTTATAGGTATATCTTGTTCATCATCATCATCCACTTGCCCTTATCCCTTACGGAGGGTCGGCAAAGTATGTGCTGCTCTTCCATACATCTCTATCAGCCGTAATATCTGAATCCACTCCTTTCTTAAGCACACAATCCATCCATACTTTCTTCGGTCTTCCTCTTCCTTTGTTAATGGAGTTTAATACATAACTAACGAGATAGACTGTCTAATACTCTGTGTATTCAAAAAGGATTAATATTCCTACACTTCCTGAAATCACAAGCTTACAATTTTAATTCTTTCAGTAATACTTTATTGTATTATTCCATATTCAGATCACGTTCAAAGAGGCTTCTTTACAAAACCATAGCACGCCAGAGATACTGACGTTCGTGATTGCATATTATCAAGGAAATATGTTAAAAGAGTTCCAATTAAAAGTATTGATTTTAAACAGGTCAATTCTCCCACTATTTCAAAACGCTTACGGAATGTCTGAACTTAGCAATGTTTCTATTCTATTAAACCAATAAAACGTATTTAAGTTAGGTTTGTGTACAAAGATAATAATTATTATTCTGTTCATATTCAAATTTGATTCGTGTGTATACCTTGTAATATTAAGTATTCGTCACACGCGATATTAATTCGAAAACTATCTTGGTTACAACTCAAAACACTAGATGGCGTTATTCAAGTTTTAATTATGTTTTCGTTATCTGTTTCTGTTATTCCGATGCTTCTATATTACGAGTATAATAGTTAACGACATCCAATGATGTGTATGAGGTTTTTCGTTCGCTTGATTCTTTTAATGTCTTCGTGGTTCTATATGTTTGTCACAATGTGGGGTTTATACATTTGTTGTATGATTTCTTTTAATTATTTTTTATTCCTCGTGTGTTGTGTTCAGTCGGGCCTATTATTTTTTTTAAGTTATGCACTATTTATTTAAAAACAATATAAAGTAATAAATATTCTATATACTTTGACGAAAAGCGTGTTAGATTTTATGTAATAAAGTAATTCTGCTGCCCTCTACGCCAATTCACTTCCGGTAACATTTTCCCTTTGTGTAATGGTTAGTGTAACTGTGAGACATGGCTTGTATTTCCGCCTTTCGAATTACTCTCGAGTCTGAGGACACTTTTTATAGGAGTATTAAGAAAATTAGATAAAGGAAATACTGCTTTTGTTTTAAATTACATTACCAATAGATAAAATCTACGAGTAAAATTTTTAGATACAAAAAGATGAGATATGAAGTCTTTTGACAATTTGAATTAGTAACTTAATAGTAGTTATGAATGTTCATAACTCATAGTAAATTGACTTAAGGCCTGTCCCACCAAATTTTAAATTGTCTGATAACCATCCAACGTGTAAAATATGTGATGGAAATATCGGATTTGGTTCCCTTATCTGACAGTGACGTAATTTTTTAGCTATCTGAGCATCAGTGGTGGAACCGGCCTTTAGAATTATGTTTTACTCTACTGATAATTAAATGTAACCAGTTAATATAAGAATTGCTTTTTCCCGCGATTCCGCGCGTAATTTAATAAAAGTTTCTTACGTGTTCTTCCATGATTATATTGTACTCTAAATTCATTGAGATCCGTTGGGTCTTTCTATAGACACCTACTAACAAACATCCATCTAAAGTTTCGTATTTGTAATATTAAGATTTCCAGTGACTTCCAACATAAAATTCACAACTAAAATTTATTCCACAAGTTTAAGCGTAGAAGTACTTAGGTATTCTCGTCATGGCTGACTCGGTTCCGTTCGCTTCACAAAATAATATCACGAATCCAAGATACCGAGGCTTGTGATTGCTTGATATTATAAACGTGAAGCTTATATTACTTTTCATACGATTTCTAATATTATTGCGTGCGCTTTATTTGATATATTTAAAAGGAATATTAAAGTGGTTGTATAATTTAGTACAATTTAATGCCTTACTTAAGGCCGTAAATACCTCATTAATGGAGACCCAAGCAGTCTTTGAGTGTAAATTAAACTAGTCCGAGTTCGACAGATACTTTCTCATGTTATTAACATTTTAAAGTAATTACTAATATTATAAAAGGGAAAGTTTAGATGGATGTTGGAGTATGTAGTCTAAACGGCTGAACGAAACTATATGAAATTTGGAATAGATGTAGAGCATAGTCTGGAATAACACATAGACTACTAGCTTTTGTTTTCTAATACTACGCTGACTGAGTCACGGAAAGCTAGTACTGATATATATATATACAGATATATCAGAAGTTTGTAAAGAAAGAATTTAGTTAATTGTTTTCAATTAACTAAACATACTTGAATAAGTAGCATCCCCCTACGGTACTAACAATACATAACTACACATGCACAGTTTAATAAGGAAAACTATTTGGCTAATGAAATTGATAAGATCAGAGAATACAGTTTCCTTTGTAGATAACATCTAATTAGGTAAAGTAGGAAGTTAGATGAAAGAACGCACTGATTGGGTTTCCTCGAAGAAGAGTAATTAATTAAGAAGCATGTTACTAAAGACTTTTTATTGTTTTTTATTTAGAACAAGGATTTTGTTACAAGAACAGAGACGCATATACATATAGGGTATCAGATTAAATTTAAGTATAGACTAACTAGATATATAAAATCAAATAAATAGATATAAAATGAAAGAGATGTATGGATTGCGTGAAAGGTGACATGATCAAGAAGGGAGTGATGACTGAGATGACGGTTGATAGAGTGCTTTGGAGGACGAAAACCCGGTGCGCTGACCCTACGGGAGTGGAATAAGGCAGGGGAGATGATGATGATGATGAAATATAAAATAAAAAAATGTAAAAATGCGATTTAAGCGTCTCCATTCCGTTTTCAATTTTCCTGGTCAAGTTGTAACTTATATGTGTAAGAGAAATTTATCATAACAAAGTCGTAAAAGTGTAATGTTACTCAGTAACACTCCGCACCAATTATCCGACAGTTTTTACCCCGGGTAAGATTCCGGGCAATGGGCATCATTTACCCGGACCAAGCTGACCTCGCCACATTCCGTCCGTCATTACTTACATATGCGTCTTATTTTAGTAA